GCTGTTCTCCGGTGTCTAGACACGTTCAGACACTATATCTATGGGCGACGGTTCATCTTGAGAGTAGACCCCACCGCGRTTGCCTCTGTCCTCCAGAAGGACTTTAGTCTGACGGACCCGACCATCGCCCGATGGTTAATACGGATTCGGCTATACGATTACACGGTCGAGAGAATATCTGGTACTAAAAATGTTGTGGCAGATGGACTTTCAATCATCCCTCTCGAGCGTCCGATAGTAGCTGGAGCGCTGACAATGGCAGGGCCGAGGCGCGCCGAGAGATTTCTAGTTAATCTTTACGAGGGCAAGTACCGAATGATCGGACTACACCTGACGGGAGAGGAGAGTCAAGATTCAGAAATCCGGAGGCAAGCAGCCCAGTATTGCCTCAGAGCGGGCCACCTTTTCCGAAGGCCAGTAGGGTCGGGAATGCCCTTGCGAGTAGTCTGTGATCCTGAGGAGAGACAGACGATAGTTGCGGAACTTCACGACGGGGTAGTCGGAGGACACAGGGGAGTCAAAGGAACCTACGAAAAGGTACGCAGGTTGTACTGGTGGGAAGGACAGTATAAGGACGTCGAGAGGTATTGTAGGACCTGCGAAGAGTGTCAGAAGAGAGCTCTTGTGAAATACAAAGAGCCGCTTCATCCATCCTATCCAACCCGACCAGGAGAGAAGGTACACATCGATCTAGTGAAAATGCCGAGAGGGGTAGGCAATATGAACTACGTCGTGAACATACGAGACGGTTTCACTGGGTTCGTGGACGGTAGACTTATCAGGAGTAAGGCGGCAAAGGAAGTAAAGAACTTTGTCCTAGAGTACTTATCTAGGTATGGTTGTGTCAGCAAGATAGTGATGGACAGAGGGGCGAAATTCCTAGCCGACGAGGTCCAGAGCGTGTTTAGGAGAGCCGGTGCGAGAGTTTCGATAGCCACCGCCTATCACCCACAATCGAACTCACCAGTAGAAAGGGGACACCAGACTCTGATAGCGTCACTGTCCAAGTGGTGCAAGGGGAAGGACAGTGATTGACCACGATATTTTCGATACACAATATGGGCGGACAACGTCACGGTCCGGGCTAGTACCGGGTACCCCCCGTACACCTTGTGGTTTGGGCGACATTGTCCGCTTCCCATAGAGTTTCACGTCGACAGCTGGACAACCGTCGACTGGGCGGAGGAGATGTCCAGAGAGGAACTCTTAGCTGCCCGAACGAGGCAAATAGCCTACGGTTTGGAAGATGACCTCATGACAGCGGCAGATTGTCTGGTAGTAGAAAGAGACAAGGGTAAAGAGAGATGGGATAAGAACGTGCGAATTAGGAAAGAGAGGGTGAACGTAGGAGATATGGTCCTTCTCTACGATGCAGCGCTGGAAAGAACCTGGACCGGAAAACTCGCCAACAGATGGATGGGACCCTACAGAGTGGTTGAGGCACTCGACTGGGGTGCATATATGATAGCAGAATTGGATGGGTCTAAGTGGAAGGACCCATGGGCGGGCGCTAGGTTAAAGCTGTTTAGGCCCAGATCCACGCCCGCTTTATCGCTAACCAGCCTGAAAGGGAAAGGGAAAGCCATGGTGGAGGATGGAGCCCCCTTGAGGCAATTCGAGGCAGGGGAGAGTTCCAAGAAAAGAAAAAGAATAGGCAAGAGAAAGGTCAAAGGGTTAGCTTTAGGAAGAAAGAAGAGATGGTTATTCGTGCTCAAGCGAGCTAGACGAAGAGTTCGGGTTAGACATACTGGCGGGTCGACGCCCTTCTCGGGGCAAAGACAGAAGAAAAAGAGGATCGTGCCGGGGCCAAAAACCAGAAGAAACAGGAGAGTCAAAAAGCATCTTCTTAGCCCCATGACTCATAACAAACTGAAACATAAGACAATTGAACGCCGACGTGGGCGACCTTTACGGGCCATCCTGCTGAAGCTCATCCGCTTCGTCTGACGTAAGTTGCCAGGGCTCGACGGGGGCGTCGAGAAGTGGTCCGGGCTACTGTCAGGCGGCCACAAGCAGTGCGCCGCCTGAAATCTACGGTTTAGGGACTTAGGCTCAAAGACAAGTCCGTGCAATGACGGTACTCTGGTTTGACCATGCAACAAAAATTAGGGGCATCCCGAGTACCCCTAAGATTAGATATGACGACCGTTGAGACTAGCTCTCGAAATTGATAAGGAGGACTACCTTACCGCGGAGGCGTCTATCTCAATACCGGCGACTTTAGCTTGTTTCCGGAACGGCCGCCTGCTGAACA